TTTACTAAATATGAGAGACATTATGTGTAAAACTTTTTGACAGCACTTATTTGTTTGACTCTTAAATAGCTTAAACTAAAGGCTTTGAATGGAGTATAAGTCAAGAGAGAGAGAGAGAGAGAGAGAGAGAGAGGAGAGAGAATAGTTATACAATAAGTTGTGTGATAATAATAGCAAATATATTATCCGTTTTTTTGTTGTGACAACACTAGTGCCGGGCATTAAGTTATCATATCTTAAGGATAGAACAGTAGACAATAGATAGTATAAAGTAATACAATGAATGCTTTTGGCGTAAAGTTATGTCACACACAAGTGCTTGACGTGTTGTTAAGGTTATGATAGACTCGAGACATAGGGATAGATAGAGTATTGAAATATCTATTTGATAGTCGTTTTTGTATTATTAATATACAGTATATATCATATGATATAATGTTTGCACAAAAAGTCGTGTGAGAAAAAAGACGGGAATTAAACCGTTTGGACGATACTTATGACGGAAATGAGTGATTGACTCGACTCTGGGACTACTTTTCCACAACTTTCAACATATTCTCTAATATATATCCTGTGCTCTTCAAGGGGACGGACAGTTGGCAAATAATTATTGCACATAACTGTGTGCATTGCTGGTGGCATTTAGGCACCGGTAATACAGTGTTTTAGTGGACTAGTGGTTAGTGGGAACCCAAACACAGATTATATTTCATTGAATGAGTGATTAAAATTGAAATCTCCCTCAAAATGACGCTAAACTAAGTGCTGGATTGGGGTTGTTATGGAAAAAACATAATATATATAGCAATAGATTTTAATTACAGTATCGCTTTAATATCACAATAATAATAATAATGATAATAATAATGACAATCGTAATGTTTTTATCGCGAGAAACAGTTGCTATAATGTAATAATAAAACGGATAAAATTATATTAAAAATTTGTATTTCATTTGCCAAAAACTACTGACTCACTAATGAATACTTGAAATTTGTTTGCATTAGACTAATGTTGAGAGTATTGTCGACACTATTTCCCAGTAGTTCATTGATTTTAATGGACTTTGCATTGATTTATATGATACTCTGAAATAATTTATATAAATTTTTATATTAACTATTCAATTGTAATAATTTCATTAAATAAGGCGCTTATGATTCATAATTTTAATGAAATAACAAAAATAATATTTAGTTTAGTATATCAAACATTATATTAGTTTAGGTATTATTAAACTTTTATTGGGTTATGAAATTTGATTTATAATTTAGTTATTTTTTTAAAAAGACAAGTTTACCTAATTTTCTACACAAGTATTATATAATTTATTTTATTATTTCTTATTATAGATTTTTTTCTATATTTTATGTAACATTTAATTTGTTATTAAGTAAGAAGAAAGCAACAAAAATAGTAGATAAATGCTATACATGTACTGTATATTCATGTTATGCATAAGGGATATGTTATTTGCTATGATTATTATTATTGTTGTTGTTATGATATTTTAATATTATATAACACAATAGACACTCACACATAGCACACAACATATTCAGTCCAATGCAACTATTTTTTTAGAAATACACATTTATTTGGAGTCTAAGAAAATTGTATATAATTTGATGCCATAAAAAAGTTAATATATGTTTAACATAGGTTTTGCCCGAAATAATTGTTATATACACTCAACTATTTTTTGGGAGAAAGAGAGAGATCATTCTGTATATACAGTAATCACATATAGTATATGTAATAATCATTTGTACAAAAAAGTGATTTTTTTATTTAAATCTAAAAGCATAATATGTTTTGCAATATATATATTAATCCCAACAGTGATATCTCAATAATATTTAAATTGACTCTTGTAATGGGCCCTAAAATGGACAAATAGGTCACTAAATAAAATAGTTAACAAACAGAAAAACGGATTATAAATCCAATAATTCTCTCCAACAATAATGAAATGCAATTCTCATTACTAATTCAATTCATGTATTTTTTCTTATGGGTTGTTATCCAATCAATTGTAATCTCATTATCAGAATTGGTGTATCAATACATAAAAATATATTGCATTTTATATTATATCTGTCATTCATATCATATGAAATAATATACTTTTATATTATTATTTAGATGTCATTGAGTGATTGGTATTAGCAAACATTTTTTTGGTCTATTTTAATATATAATATAGAAAAATTGTAATAATAATAATAATGAAAAAAATAATAACAATCATAATAATGATTATACATTAAATTGATATCATATTTCAAAAAATAATTGCAGTTTATATTATTATTATTTTTTTGCTTTAATATTTTATTTCATTATCTCATTTTGTTTAATGTTAAGCCATCAACTGTTAGAAAATGTGTATAATTATATTATTTGACTGCTATATGGCTAATGAATATATTTAATGTATTATTTAATTTTCGTGTATTTTGTTCATTAGTTTGAATTATAATTTTTAATTTCTTAAATTACAATTAATGTATGTGAGAGACGCTAGAAATATACTGTTAGATGTATTTAGTGTTTTTTTTATTTAATATTTTAAAATACATTAGAAAATCAGTGAAGTAATCAGTGATTATAAGAGACACAAGGCTTTCAAAATAATAAATGATTTATTTTATTTTAGAGAAGATTTTTATAGTGTTTTAGTATTTATTGATATAAGACTCAATCAGCCGTTAAAACAGTTGGAAAATTCATGAAATGCTTGTATTATTTTTGTCGTATATATTTTAGATAACTATTATATACCTTACAATATAATGGATATCCTATGGGACGACCACTAAATTTAAAATGAATTTTGCGGAGAGTTTTATCGTTTTATAAATTTTTTTCACAAATTTAGATTTAATGTGAAATTATTGATTTTACTTGTATTTTGAAAGTTGACTTTTAGCACATTTATTCCGTTAAATACAGTTTATATATATATACTGTATATGGCATATATGGCACCACAATTTATATACGGCATAAGTGGCACACAATGTATATAAAGTTAGAAATTTTTATCAATATATAGACAACATATTGAGTGATGAATTACTTGAATATTTCGTAAATGACTTATATATAAAAGTAAAATCTTATAGTTATCGATAAACTTATTTACAACTAAAATAAATCAATCAAAATATTTCAACAAAATATTTTAACAAAACATTTATTATAGTAACTCATTTGAAAATATATTTAATTGTTATTTCAAACATACAGTTATAGAAAGTGAATAATGTTTTATACTGTATAATATACAGTATATATTATAGCAATAATGTAGATAAAAGATTAATACATTTTTCATTGATGTTTATTACGATGAAATAAATTAAAATAATGATAGCATTTTAAAACAATAAGCAACTTATAATCATTAAACAAATAACTGATATTTAAACATAATGCATATAATTAATATAATACATATTATATTAAATATGAAATAAATTGATATCGATTTCAGGTAATTATAGTACTTTAACATAATTTGTTAGTTTTATTATAATCGATAAAATAAATGCATTACTTTCCTTTTGAAACTATATACAGTATATTAAAACTTAACTAAATTATTAAATTTTAATTTTGTAGACAATTGAAAACAATTTGTAAAAATTAATGATATCTATAAAATAAATATACAATAAATATATGTCAATTTTATTAAAATAAATTAAAAGATAAAATAAATACATTTTTCTTGTTGAATGTAATTAAAAAACATGTAGTTTTTGGCGAAAACATAAGCCTTGAAAGCATTGACAAAAAATTACAGATAAAATAACTATTAATGATAATAAAAAATTAAAATTTAAAACTATTTTTTAAAATAAGATTATATTTTAAAATCCTGGATTTTGAGGGGGCGTTTGGCTAAGTGTTTGGATAGAAATTGAGTTTTTCTCAATATAAATACAAAAATTATGACAATTAGTTATTGAATAATATTATCAAAAAAGCCATGAATTTTTGCCACAAATGGTAAATTATAATAAAATAAAATATTTTAAAAATAAATGTACTGTATTTAAAATCTGCAAAAAAATATTATGCACGAAAATCCATTGGGAAATTGTGTTTTATTTCTTATAAGAAAATTGATGCAAATTCATTGAAACAAAATAAAAACACTCTTTGAAAGCGTACCAAAAAATTGGGTCAAATCACAGACTCAATCAATAAAAACAGTCGGATATATAGCGTGTGTGTGTGAGAGAGAGAGAGAGAGAGAGAGAGTCAAAAAGGGAGCGACTGTTTCAATGTATGATATATTTAATGGCATAAAAGTATTTTGATTAAATTTTAAAAATATTTATTACAATTAAATGTTTTAACATTTTCAAAGTGAGGAAATGTTATTTACTGAATCTTTCAATTGATAGATTATATCAGAATTTTGGTCATTAAATTGATTATTTAATAAATTGATTTTAATTCATATAAATTGTTGAACATATATGCCTTGACTGCAATGGTGTTGAGCCCTTTTTGCACTGACCTTACACTTTAGACACTACAGTATATAGATATCAATGTAAGTTATATACAGACACTTAGATACAGGAGTCAAGAAAATAGAGCATATATTCTGTTAGTATATATACATATTGTGTGCAATACTATCAGCGCATTGATGTCTACAGAATATTCTGTGCGTAAGAATTGAGAAAATAAATTCTGCTATTTTTGAATTCAACAGAGAATAATATATATATATATATATAAAACATACATACAGTATGAACACAAATAAAACAATTGAAACAAAATTTTCTCATAAAACAAACATTAAACACACAAACATATTATATTTGTTTTTTTTGTAAAATAAATTAACGAATGAATGAAATAGTTTTTGTAAATATTTAATTTAACAAATATTATCAGAAAAAAAATTATATAAAGATATACTGTTAATGTGTTTTATGTATTAAATAAAAAGAGAGACAACATATTAAACTTACAGTTAATTACTGTGCGATCAATACAAGAATCAGTAGTAGTTGTTGTTGTTGTTGTTGTTGTGGTAGTTGTAGTGATAGTTATAACAGTAGTAGTAGTGGTTGTTGTGTTGAAATTGTTTTTTTGTTGATAATAACAGTCTCACAGAATTTGAGGAATTTTTTTTTCTTCTGCGAAGTCGAAGAAGAAATCTCAAAAAGAGCTGTATTTTTGTATTTACTTTTTTGTGACACACTTTTTGTCCAAACAATAGTCTATAATATGTTTTGAATCAATTGATTACATTCTTAGTCGGACTTTTCATAAAACCGATTCAATTGTTTTTTTTTATATAACTATATATTCTTCAGATTTGTTGAAAATCTTTTGTTATATCAATCAGTTTTCAGTCTCTTTCTTCACGTCAGTCTTCTTCAATCTCTCTCTTTCTCTCTTTTTTGTGTCAAAACTATCAACGATTATGTGCTGAGAGTGCAAAAAAATAACACAATATTTAAGACCCAAAAAATATAATGTCTTTCTTTCGCTTCTCTATCACTTAAAATAAATTACAAAATACTATATAATAAATATAATGCAATTTAATACAATTTTTGAGATATAAAAAAATTTTGTTTTACAATAACATTAAATTCTATCAGTTTTTTATTCTTCGAGTTCATGAAAATAGTTATTATTTATTATTATATTTACTTTTATGAAAAATTGAATTGAAATCTATTTATTTATTAATATCTTTAATATCAAGCGATGAAATCTGTTTAAACACAAAATTATAACACAATAAAACTAAAGTTTTTATATTTATTACATAACAATATATGAGTTTTTAGTACATATTTACACACAAAATAAATTTACAACACAAAGGGTTTAGACCACTGAAAACATATTATTTGCTTAACTGTTATATAATTTTATATAACAATATATTATTATTAGTAATGTTATTATTATTATTATTAAATGCAAAATTCATGGCACAAAACAAATGAAATTTTTCAAACACAAAGTTTATGCGTTAATAATACAATAATGAGACGACTGTTTTCTGGCAAATAAACTGGCAATTAGTTTATGTGTGTATTTGTAGCGATGGTATGGTTATAGCTTATGAGGGGAATGGTATGAATTGTATGGCATAGGAATCGCAACAATAATTGCAGGACAGCTGCCACTGGAGTTTAAAAAAAAGTTATGCCAACAAAAAGTGTACACACATTGCATTTGCTTTTATAACACCAATGGATATGTGTATGTGTTTACCGCCAGTTAGCACTGGTAGGTAGTGTTTGCTCTGATAGCAGAGTCAGAACTACTCGTTCATCACAACTTGTTCAGTGCTCAGCTCAGCCCTACAAGCGCTCTGGCAGTCATATCATTGTAGTGGTCTCTATGACAACACATTCACAATCTCTCTCACTATTACTTTGCTATCATATATTACTTTATCCGAGAAATACAGTTATATAAACTGTATTTATAATATAATATAATATAATATAAAATATATGATAGAAAAATGTGAATTTTGTTTTATTTATGAATTTGTTTTATGATTTAACACCAAAATTCTTGTTTATCATGGCTTCATAAAAGGCTTTCATATAATTTACATAAATTTGTAATATATTTTTGTGTTGAAAATTAATGATAATTTCGTTGTTGTCATGAATTATGATTATTATAAATAATAATAATAATAATACAAAATAATAATAAAAAAACAAACAATAAGAGACCAAAGTCTGGATAAATGAATAAAAATGCATATATTTATAATATATATATATATTTTAATAAATAAATTAATGGAAGAAAGTCTTGATTGATAGTAACAAATAACTTATACATATTATACATGTAGTTATAAATTATAAATACAATATTATTATTATTATGATATTGTATTTGCTTTGCAAATATGTTTCCGCATCAATAAGTTTTGCTGCAAATACTAAAAATATAGTCACAGAAAAAAATAACTAAAATGTCATTTTGAAAGAGATAGTAAATGAGTGAAAGATTTAAATATATTTAAATATATATATATATATATATTTTTAAAAAGATTTATTTTAAAAGTTAAATCTTATATTATATTTATATCTAATATGAAGTGAAAAGCATCTAAATGTAAGAAAATCGTTAGTATTTGTGTTTTTAAAAGATATATCTATTGAGCTCCGGGAGAGTAAAAGTATTCAAAGTATTTCCTTTTGCTAATAGTTATGCCGTTTTTATAATCAATGTTTTTTTGTTCATTGAAAATGATTTTTTTTAGTTTTTTGTTGGTAGAAAAATAACCCCAAAAAGTAAATATTACACACGACTGACTATTTTTTAGTGATTTTAGTCACTGATTATCCATATATATTGATATTTGAGTTAACATGAAGTTTACACAAATACAATGTATTTATGATATTATTAGAGAGAGAGAGAGAGAGAGAGAGAGAGAGAGAGAGAGAGAGAGAGAGAGAGAGAGAGAGAGAGAGAGAGAGAGAGAGAGAGAGAGAGAGAGAGAGAGACAGAGAGAAAGAGGGAGAGAGAGAGAGAGAGACAGAGATATTTACTTAAACATTTCACATACCTTTTTAACGACTTATTTCACAATTTTTTGATCAATGAATAGCTGAGTTCAATGAATTTATATTAAACTAATTTTTTTCCTAAACTAATATCCAATACCGTATTTTTCAATATGTGTATTACAAATATACACAACAATATCATTGTCAATAAACAGCAAATAAATGTGAATTTTTGCACATTTAGTATAAGTAGATATCACACAAACTTTCACTTATAAAAGTGATTATTAAAAAATAAATAAACTTTTGCTAACAATATGCGTGTCTGGACTATACAATAGGCACTGGTATTATTGGTTAAGGGTGTTCATAAACGCGGGCATAAAATAGCGGTACAGACACTCAATGGCACCCAATATGTATGATATTAATTCTATGCCTTTAACACCATATGCTGGGACCTGACTGTTGTGCCAAACATATTGGTATTGTTGTTAATCGCAGAAAATTTGGGGACAAAAAAATTGCATAACATATTAACCAACAGCTGCTCTACGATACCTAACTATCTATCTGTCTCTCTATTGCAGTATATCTGCAATTATTTTTTATTAAAAAAAATATATATATTGTCTGAAAACTTTATTTTTAATAAAAACTTAGAGTATAGTGAAACTACTGTATAATTTGTATGTTTTATAAATGTAGTATATATTATGAAATATGTTTATTAATTAAATGTCAATTACGAAAATTTTTATTTATTATCATTAAAACAAAAAGCTTTTTAGTAATGTTTTAATAATTTTATTATTTTTATAAATGATGACCTCAAAATATTGTAAATAATAAAAATGCTTAATTCAATAAATAAATAAATAAATAATATGATATATAGTATTATTCACTCAGTAATTAGCAAGTAATTAATAATTTATTTTTTTAACCAACACAATTAACACAGTATTGATAATTATATAATGTATTATAAGATATTTAATTTATATATACTATAGAATATAAACAGTATATATTATAAACTGTATATATTCTATAGTAGATAATACAATACAATTAAAATAAAATGTTATTATTTATACTAAAAATCAAAACACTTATGTAATCATCCTATTAATAGTTTGATTACTATTTTCATTTAAAATTTAAATTAATAGTTAAGGCTATTCATTGTGTGTGTATATACTGTATGTGTTTGCATAAGATTTGTAAATCATTTAAATTATAAATGATTCAATTGTCCAACTCGTCAACGAAAATAACAAATTATAAAAACATTTAAAATAACAAATAAAAGACATAATTATAAACTATAATATGTAGTGAATTTCAAACGTTTATATTTAATTAAAATGAAAAAATAAACAAAAATAAGTGAATTAAGTAAATATTTGTTAAATGTGTTAATAGGAAATAAAAAATAAAATTCAAAAATATTGACATAAATTTATTTTATGGAAAACTAATTATCGGTAAAATTGATGTGAAAATCGGATATTTATGGGTTAAGAAATAAAAAAAAATGATTAATATTTAAATTAAAAACACAAATTTTACTTTATTTTATAATACATATATTAATTTGTTATTTTTAATAATATAATTATATAATCTTTCAAAAAGTTTCATTAGGAAATATATATATAAATGCACACTAAATCTAAATATAATAACAGATTTGACAAATATAAATAAAATCATAAGTAAATATAATTTTTAAATTAAATAATATGAATTAATATTATTAACATTTTTCTGTATAAATATAATCTATAAGTAAAATAATTTTCAACATAAAATTAAATCATAAGTTATATGTAATTATATTGTAAATTAAATTCTATTAATACATCAATTATCAAATATATTATTATCAATAATACATATTATAAAGTAAAACAATTGCACAAAATAATATTAAAATAAGCTTATGAATTGTTAATTTACATAAAATAATTTTACAATTAATTTACATGTATTACATGTCTATAACAAACTTAATCATATAAATATATTAATAATAATTTTTATTTCATACAATGAGTTAGAGTACTGTTTAAAAAATTATGTCCCAATACATACTTTTAACTCTTTTAAGAGATTGATTGCACTTCTAATCTATAATTTACAAAAATTTCCGATCATTTATATATAAAAACAATATATAATTCATTTCTCAATTCATTTTTAGTCCAACTATTTGAATAATAAATTATTTAATTTATTACACATGAGTATTACACATATAATTCAATTAAGTTTTATATCTAAAAAGTATTTATTTTAATAACAAACAGTAATTTACTTTCAAATAATTGTCTGAATAGACTTATTTTTAGAAACTTTAGATATTCATTGAATAAATCAATGCATTTTTATCATTATAAAAACAACAAAATTGATTGTGAATTCGCACAACAATTCATTAGTGATTTTTTTTGGTATTTTTGCAAAATAAGTGTTTTTCACTTTTACTAATTAAATCTATTATTAGTCAATAGTAATAAATTTTAATTATAGACTAAACGGCACTTTACGCTTACAAATTATTTTAAAATTCAGTATAAATTTCCAGTTTTATATAAAAAACTTAATTTTGAAGTACAATAAAAGCAATTAAATATTAATTACCGACTTTGTTACGTAAAGTAAACTGAATTAGTTATTAAATATAAGGAAAATGTTAAGTAAAAAATGTTTAAATACATATTTGATTCAAATAGATTTCACTCTATTGGGACACAAACTTATTATTACAATTTTTTTTTGTTTTTTTTTTGTCAAATATACTACTTTTATGTTTTAAATGCAAACTTTCGTTATTAAATTATATAAAACATGATATATGCAAATAAAACATTTTAATGACTTTTGATTATAAAATTTATGATAATAAAAATAAAATCATATTTAATAAAAAAAACAAACAAAAACATAACAACAAAAAAATCCATTTGACTTTCAAATGAAAATATATGACTAAATGTTTTGCGATTTCAAGGATTCATTTGAAGTAATATAATGAAAGTTTGCATTTAAAGCTATCGTCAAAATAATTACATCTTTAGCTTGAAAGCTGTATTTTTTATGAACAATATATATATATATAAATATGAAAATAAAATTAACAATATTTAATGCGAGATGTGGTTTGTATGAGTGAATTGTCATTTTCTGGTGACACCTCTGGGCTTAATGTCTTCAGATATCTGCCACATCGCATCTTCGCTTAAGTAGTCTTCAAAATTGTTGAAAAATGCTATTATCTGGTCGTTTCGTTTGAACGGATAGTGACTATCGGATAAACAAAAACAAAAAAAAAACAATATAAATCATTACATCTCTCTTTTGATAATAAAAAGTTAGTCATTAAATGAAATAAGGATTTTATTGTTAAATGATTCGTTAAAATGACTTAATTTAAAGCAAAAAAAAAAGTCATTATTTATTACCAATTCTTGAATCTTCTCATTTGGTCTAATATGTTGTACTGTTGCCATCGTTTTCCAAAATTAATATTACCGTCGGGTAGATAATCATTATTACCGATGTGTACAAACGTCAAGTCTTGCAAAATGAGACCACTGTTTGGCGTAAATAAAATAAAACAATTGGTTATTAATATTAAGGAGTGGTTTTTGTGTTTAAGCACAAGTAAATACATAATAAAAAAAATTATAAACAATGCTAAGGCATATCTAATTTTCAAGACAAACAAACAAATAATAATAACAAATGGTTTTATTTAAAAAACAAAATAAAACACACATTCCTTAGCGTAACATTGTTTTGTATTATGTTTCAGTTAAACAGTGAGAAAATATGTATTATTTATTTCTCACTTAACCTAACCGTGCATTATATATGATACCTACATGTATGGTATACAGGGTGGCTCCGTATCGGCCAATGCTTGTCTATACGCCCTAAAACTGGACGACGAGTCGATGAGAGCGCTGTACTCTTTGATACTTTCAGTGATATTTCTCTGCCATTCAAGCCGTCGGATGGGCGCCGAGTCCAGTGCCGACAGTATAGCCAAATATGAGTTAAAGTTTGACAGTTTTCTTAAGTGTTTCATTATTTTAATAAACTTAAGAACCAGTCGTTCCCTTTCTTTGGCCTCTTTTTCATCGAGAATTCGTGAACGCGTCCAATAAGACATGTTATTGAAGTGTTCGGTAAATGTATTCAAATTGGGAATCAGTTCTTCTTTTTGTTCTTTAGCCCAAACCAACACTTCTGGTATCTGTTGTGCAAATCATTGAATTTCATTAAAAAACAATACGTTTAGGTATTATTTAATTTCATCCATTCATTCATTGCTTATTCAGCAGTTAAACAATTTTTTCTATGTATACATATAATGTTTTTTTTAAAGATAAACTAATGAATTGTGTGTGAATATCAATGAACTAAATCTCAGGTGATATACTTTAACATATATTTGTAGTAAAAAAACAATTTAAATGCATATTAACTTATTTTGCATATTATGTGTATTGGATTTTTAAAAAATTCAAGTTTAAGGCATTTTATGCAAACTTTTACTTAAAATGTACCTTTAATATTGCATGTTTTAAAAACAAATTGGGTTATATTTATAAATAAACAAGGAAAACTCATATTATATTAGAAAATTGTTTTTTCTTTCAAAACATATTACAAAACTTTAAAAATATATTTACAGATATAAATTTATATTTAATATTTGATAAGTATTGATAAAATTTCGATAAATATAATTTATAATCTATTTTTAAAAATAAGATTAAATTTATGATTTCCTATAAATATTTCAATTTATGAAATCAATGGTTACCTCAATCTTGAGGAAGAGTTCAGAGTCCATAAGTGTCATCTGTTCGGCCAAATGATCGGATTTGAAGTCCAATAATGAGAACGGTTTACTCGTGATATTAATCGATGGTAAGAGTGCTTTGCATGAGTTGCGAGTCCTTTCCCGTTGATCTAACTTTTCAATACATTTGGTCCGAAGCACTTTGGCCAGCGCCAGATCGCCTCGATTTACCAATTGGTAGATGAAATCCATTAAGATTTCCAGTACTTTGTCATTACAGTCACCAATACTGTTGAGTGAGAGGGCAATGAGTCAAACATTTGTTAGCAAATAGTGAATAGAGGAGAGGATAGGTATGTCAAACAAACAACACTACATAAAAAGCTGACAAACAATTGCAGAAACAAATAGCAAACAAAACACAATTTACAATATGATTAATAGGACTATTAAAAAGCAAAAACCAAACAAACAAACAAATATTGATAACTGAAATACTAGTGCTATTCACAAGCACTTAATGAGCTATATCTGCGCCAAAAACAAGTTTTGTGGGTCCCGGGGATGCTTTGGGAGGTTATCACACAATATGCACACATATGTAAGTAATCAATTGACAACACAGTTATAAAAATATATAGTATATGTCATACGACTCTTACCACATATCGTCGACCACTCGGACCAGTAGTGCGAAAGCATTTCTGGCCGCTCTCTGTCTCATATCAGAAATTAGTATGAATTTGTTGTAACGAAATAGCAGTTTATTTATGAGTTCCATAGGAGTCAGTAGAGTCCGATAAGTGGTAAGGAAGGCCTCTTGAAACATGAAATCTGTAATAAACACAAAACTCATATTACAAACGGTTTATAACATACCAGTCCTTTGGTAGGACAGGACAACAATTCATTAGAAAAATTTTGTTACAATGCGTTGATTTGTTTAACATATTAGGGAAAGAGAGAGAACTATAGATAGAAATAGGAAACTGACTTTTTGTTGTTTTTTATTGTTCACTAAGTATTAAAATAGTTAATCCGTTTATCATATAAAAAATCAATATATATTTATATAATTGTTATAAAGATATAATTTTTTGTATTATTTAATGTAAACTTTTGACCTTTTTATAGGAAATGAGATAATATTGTGCTTTTAAATGACTTTAAATGATAATAAATACCGTTTTTGGAAACTTCTGTCGCTTTAACGATAAGCCCGTCGACAGTTCCACCCCTAATATCCGGCCCGTCATCACATGGATTCTTGAACACAATATATATGGAAACATCAGTTTCTTCCAGTGCTGACAACTCTTCGGGATCTTCTATCTCAACTCTGGTCAGTTCCGACTGAGAACTGATGCCACTCTCGGACGATGGCACGAGACTGACGGGCGTACTCGTGCGCGGCATCAACTCAGGCGACTCATTAAGTTTGGGTGTTGTCATCGTAGTTGTCGTTAACATGGATTTCTTCTTTTTGGGTGGAAGTAGAGGCGGCGGTGTTGACGACGTCTCCGATTCAAGCGAAAAGACAGAGTCATCACTGCTGGCCGACACAAAACTAGTAGTTATAGACCGTTGCTGAATGAATGTGCGCTCAACGGCCTGCCATTGATTTTCTATGGTCTGGTAGGTGTGTGAGTGTCGATAAAATTCGACACTTTCCGGTCCGTTATAACTGTCCACCATTTGCATGTATACCATCATATTACGCTTCTTCGGTGGTAACGGTGGCGGTCTATTCTCCAGGTCATTGCTATCAATTACTGTAACTGTTGGACAGTTAGGGGCAGCACTGGTATTTAGAAAATGTGGACATGAAATTGAATGCGGACACGACGTCGTGATATGCGGACAGTACTCATTTGTTTGTGACCTTTGGTTGGTGTCGTGTCCGCAATAGTGATTGAAATGACTAGAATCACACGTTTCGTCAATATTATCGTATTGAGAGACGGGACGCATCGGTTTAGTATCTAATATATTGTTTATATTGGAAAGACTTAGTTTAGGTCGTAATTTCACCGGTAATTGTGGCGGAATATCGCCGTCGACCGTGTCTTCGCCCGCATTAAATGATTTCATTTTATCAATCAATGAGTCGATTCTATGCGAATGAAATGGTGGCGAACTTAATGAAAAATGAAGACTTTCTTTTGACGATTGACTGTCAACCGAGTAATGATAAGTATGTGTTTTAGTTTGTTTTGTCGACCGATATTCATAACGATTGATATATGAATTATTGCTCCGATTTTCATCAGACGATGAAGTCGTGTTATATGAATTAAGTTGTGACCGATAGCTTCGGGTCTCGGATGTGTTGTCGCTGCGAGTCATAGATAAAAGGTCATCAGCTGAAAGGTGATTGAGTCCCGATAGGTTGAGACACGAGTCGATGCTATCACATTGTGAGTGACAGTTAGATGACTGACATGTTTGTGGCCAATCAAATGATTGCTGTGACAATAGTTTGTTTGTACGGGGAAACCGTTTAGGAGGAAGTGGTGGCGGATTTATCTCATCATCCGAGTATCTATTGGACATACTTTGTTCTAACTGATCAAAGATAGGCAGTTTCGGTGGCTTAGGCGGCGGCGGATCTGATCCGTCGATGGTATCAAACGTGTCGTTGAGAACATTGTCTGAGGACAAGGAATGGTTGAATCTGTCGATTAGATTTCTTCTGTAGGGAACGGGTGGCGGAGTCTCAAAGTTTGTTGTCTCCAATATTTGTTTCTCGCGCGGAGATAACGGTATCTCTGGTAGTGATGACCTGTGAGATGAGGTGTTTGTAAGATTATGTTTAAGTGTTGTCGGATCAGCCTTTTTGGGCAATCGGCCCAACGTTTGTGTAGTGAGTAGTGGTGTGGAAGAACCGTTAGGTTTGACATTATTTTGGTTGTTGTCGTCGACGACAACAACTTTATTCAGTATTTCTCTATTCTTGTAGCGATCAATACATAACTGAACCAAACTCTGGGGTTTTTATTATTATTGTTGATATCATTTCATATATGAAAATATACACAAAAAAAGAGAAAATAAATAAATAAAATTATAACATAAGTATTGAATTACTTAATAATAAAATTGAGGACAAACTGACAATAAATAACAAAAAAAAGACTTTTTTTTATCTAATTTTTACAAACCATTGATAATATAGTAAAAATAGAGATGAGATTTGAATAATAAAAAAAAGGATAAGAATAACAACAAAAAAATTTTTTATATATCATATGATATATTGAAAGCAATGAAACAAAACAAACAAATAATGATTACATTAACTGATTCCAAGACATTCTTTGCAATTTCGGTCACATTTTCTTTATCTAATGGTTTGTCTCTATTATTAAGCAAAATATCGTCCGACCATCGGATCAATTGAGCCAAACATTGATACACCTGATTGGTTGCCGAAACTATGTGTGAACTATTCATTTAATAATAATAAACAAAATTATCATTTATTACATTGAAATTGATTAACAAAATATTGATTATAATTTAATTGTCTTTTATTTAAAAACATTTCATTTAATGGTCAGCCAATCAAATCACTTGAAATCTAAACGTTACGATATTTTCTATGATTACAATCCCTATATTATTATGAATTATATTAATTCATATTATTTTCTTATATATAATATATTCAATTCCCTAATTATAATCTGTATTATAACAATGTATATTAAAGTTAGTGTTTAAACAGTACATTGTTTTTTGACGCTATTATTAAAGTGTTGCTAAAAAATCTAATGTTTAAAAAAATCTAATGTTTAAAAAAAACAAATATTTGAAATACTGTACATAAAAAATGTTTTATTTTTAAATAATTAATTAATTAATTAGTTTTTGTTTGTTTGAATGAAATAATAATTGAATAAATGTTTTGTTTGTACAAACCTTTGTTCATTATTGATAAGATATGCTTTTAATTGTGAATAACCTGTTAATACAATTTCAAGTATAATAGTGACCGAACCGGACAACTGTTCCAATTTGTCTTTTTCTACCACATCCTGGAAGTATCGAAGCGCTGAAGACAAGTGTTTAACGAACTGATTGGCACTATTGATGTCTTTCTCTTTTTTAGCACTTTTTTGTGACTTTTTGCTATCAAATGTTTGCTGTGGTTGTAGTTGTTGTTGACCTTTGACCAGTTTATTCTTATAATGTCTGTAATGGTGACCGTATTTATGCGGTGATTGTGACCGTGTGGCCGATGGACTCCTTATTTGATTGAGTTTTTCAATGAAGTCCTGTTTGAAAGATCGGGCCCTTCGGGCGATACGATGTGCCGCCCGATGACGTAATGTGTCTGTCAATTGAAACCATAAAAATAAATTGAATAAAAAAAATTACAATACAATAACTAATTACATGTCAAACAATGACAAACATTGCATTAATTATATAATAAATAAGAAAAATTTAGCTTAAAATTCATTCATAAGACATGGAAATGTCATTTATGATTATAATATATGATATGATATTCAATAGCATTGCATATCATTTATTTTAAATGTTTTTTTTTTTTGCATTTCAATGTTGTTTATGTTGTTTTTTAAGCCGAAAACTCCTTTAAAAAAATCTATGAGTGTATCGAAGGTCATCATTAGCTCGGGGTTTACAAACTATACCATTGAATATCATTAATATTTAGACTAAAATTTTGTTTAGATATTAGTAATATTATAATAAATTTTTGTTGTAAAAAAACTTTTCATTTGAAAACAGGATAAACTCTATACACAAAGCTCTTAGATAGTTAGTAAGTAAACGGCAAACAATAAATTTTATATATTAGAGAGAGAGAGAGAGAGAGAGAGAGAGAGAGAGAGAGAGAGAGAGAGAGAGAGAGAGAGAGAGAGAGACAGGAAAATAACATTTATTTTTGCATAGCATTTGTTATTAATTTTGTTTAACTTTATTAACTGTATTATTGTTAAAATATTAAACAAAACAACATTATTTAGCGACAAAACCCCAAAATTATAATTTTGAATGCTTTGTGGAAAAAATGTAAGAAAAGTTTTTATTTTTATTTTTTTATATAATAAACAAAACTAAAGCTAAACACTTTGTAGGGCACAGACCTGGTAGACAACACCACATATCCTATGAAATAACAATAATAACAATATACCGATGAAATAAAAAAAAGACAAATCAATTGTTATGTTTTTTGTCTCTTAGAGATCACGGATTTATTATTAAAATATTACAAATATTAAGACAGATGTTGTTATCAAAAGATAAAACATACAAACAGTTGACTCATATGTATGAATGAATGAATAAATACTAGATTTATAACTAATTTCCTAATTATGTTGTTTTGTTGTGTGAACTCTGTATTAAATAAGGCGTTTAATGTAATTAATATTTTGATTGATAATTACAGTGGCAATCACTGCTTATTACGGTTACCACAGCTTAACCAATGTTAATATACAGTATAAATGGCAATTTGATATATTTATTAATAATTAAAATTATTTAGTTTATAATATTATATGAAAATAATTTATTACTATCATTTGTCTTAGTATTTGTTACAATGAAAGCATATGATTAATATAAAATAACTCATAAAAACATGTATTTTAATTATTATGTTGTTTGTCATCATCAGTGCAAATCATTCAAACTAAATGTCAAATGTTAGTATATAATGGTCTATAAAAGATAAGGCTATTCAACAAAAAATAAAACTAAGCCTACAAACTTTTACTTTTTTTTATATACAGTATATATATAGCTCTCTGTATACTGTATTATAATACTTCATGAAAAATCAATGTCTGTCTTTGTTAAGCAAAAAAAATTATTTTTATTAATAAATTATTAGAAAATTTCATTAATAAAAGATAGTGTTTGAATACATGTAGTGATTCGTGCATTTATTTGCCATTACAATACAATATAATGTTATGTAATGCTGTAATGCACTTACATGTACACCAATCACATAGACAAACACACACTCACTTACATACACACCGAAAAAACATCACGAATAGCATCATCTGTATGTTCAACTAGTTATGTACTGTATTTATAAAGATATGTACTGTATGTGTACAGTATATCTTTAATATAAAATAATATCTACCTGTGCTCTCTCTCTCTCTCTCTCTCTCTCCACAGTGTGTGCACAATTGAAAAAAGATTTAATATATCATATACTATACGTAAGGTATAAATACTAGTATTAAAATCTTGAGCCATCACTTCCCACACATTATTAACAATGTATAAGCCTTAAGATAACATAAGTATTGCTGAAGATGTAGAGCTAATAAATAAAGAAATATTGGTTCGCTTATTGTATAGCACTTTAGAGGCATAAAAAATTATTAGTTGTTTAAAGTAGGTATGAGATGTACAAAAAAATGTTAAGTTCGTGTTATATGTTTTCTTTATAACTGCGATTATAACTTTCAAATGTATAATATATTAGTTATAAATTTATATGTGTTGGTAGATATGAAAAAATAACATAACAATCAAATCAGAAAAGTGTGGGCAGAAAATGTCTTAAATCTCACCCAAAAAAATATCGTATACAAAATATACCGCATAAACCTATAAGGCTAATAGCAATGACATTTAAATGGTAAAGTATATAACTTTATATATATAAATAATTTTACCAAATATCTAAGTGACAAGTGATATGTGGTTTTAAATAGCATTTCATATCAATTGCAACATATATTCTATACTATGTTTTTTTCAAATGTCTGTATTTTTAAACGGGGCGTTAAAATGACACATTAGCGCCAAAGTTTGCATCCAAGTCGTGCCATAACAAAAATCGGACCAAAAAATCTATCTAATTATAGAGTGGCGACACTTACTTAAAGCAAAGATATATTTCAAACACACACACAAAAAGTTATTTCAATTTACTATTATTATAATACTTGATGTGTGCGCTGCTTATCTCTTAAATATAAAAACGCAAAATAATAATTAAATACTAAAACTACTTGTGTTTGTTTGTATGAGTGAATGAGTGAGTGTTAAACTTAATTATATAAATATTTCTGCTTTTATAAACACAAGCGCACACACATGTCAGACACACAATTCAATAGTTATTTTTTTAATTAGAAATTATTCACTTTAAATACATATAAATACATTCAAATTCATTATTATTATTATTAAAACTTTTAACAATAGTTAATGTTAGTCTGAATCCTGAATAATGCTCTTTACTTTAATTTGTAAATTTATTAAACATTTATTACGGGACCATTAAAACAATTTAATCGTTTAAAATATAAGTGCGATACAAGTGTGGCAAATGATCGCCAAAGATATAATGTAGGTATTACTATGTAAGCAATAGGGAGGGACAGGTATTTTTTTGCTTAACTAAGCGATTATTTAATAATTAATGAGTCAACTCTTTTGCATTTAACATAACTATAACACAAATCATTTCCAAAGTATTGATCTATTGTTAAGCATTTCATTGTTAGGCATTGAGAGGTAAAGATCGTTAAATAGTAGACATAAAGTCTCTAATGACAACAACCCCTTTGAGTTAAGCAATTGTAATAAAAATAATAATAAGTCATCTATTTTTAACTTTTGCTCTCCTCATGGCATACATTCAATGAAAGAGGTATGCAATCAGTGATATCAGTGTATGTTTCAAATGTAAGTAAAAATCAATAAAATCCAGAATCCATTCAAACAATCATTCAGTACTACTAAATTCAGTAAAGGATTTACATTGTATTTTCGACAAACGGCTCAATTTAAGTGAGTGAGTGAGAGAGAGAGAGAGAGAGAGAGAGAGAGAGAGAGCAAATAAGTCATACAATAAATGTTTTGTCATTTTGATGAAAAAAGCAAAAAATCGCATCAAAAATAATATGAAATTCTCAAACAACATAATACATAGACTAGTCATGTGATAAATTTTCATCTCTCATATTATTAAATAACAAATGTTTTGTTTCCTAAAATAAACTTCAAATTCAATAAAGAAAAAAATTAAAAAAAAGAAGTTTTTACCGCAATATTTATTAGTCTATTATGTGACTGGCATTCATGTAATAATAATAATAACAGAAAGATATTTAGCATTTAAATTCAATTAAGTTAACAAACCAAACAAAACACATTGGCTTTTACTACAGTGTATGTTAATTTTATAAATTGAAAGATATTATATAATTTAATGTATATATTATATATATATATAGTGTATAATAATATAAATTAGTTTTTTTTAATAGTAATAAATAAGTTGACGCCACGAGTCATCCAACTTAACTCTTCAAAAAAAACCTTATAATTAAAACCCACACGTCTTATGGGATCAACAGTAAAAAAGCTATGTTTACTAATAGACTCATCAAAATGAACATTAAAAACAATTATACTTTTTATTTTTACAATTATTATCATTATTTTGTGATCAGATATATAGTGTGAGAAACCGTCTATTGTAAAATTGTAAAATTGTCTAATTATTTGATAATTATAAACTAAACTAAATTTGTTAAATAATAATAATTTATAAACTAATGGATTCTAAATGTGTTGTTCTCTATACAGGATTTTCATTTAAATTCATTTTTAAATATAAATTAATATTTCCGATAAAAATTTTTTTAAATAGAAAAACATTTCCCGTAAGGAAAATATTTGCACTAAATTTGAATAATAATTTAATAGTAAATATCATAAAATATATACATATATATACAATATATATTATATATATATGACTGTGTCAATAAACAGTACATTTACAATAATTTTTAAGGTATTAATTATTTAAAAAAACCAAATGATAATTGAATATTTTCATATATTTCATTAAATGAAACATTAACAGTAAAATATTAATATACAAGTTTTGTAGACATATTTGCAAAATAACTATTAATAGTGTATATCATTTATTTACATACCAGTATAAATTAGTTGGTTCATTATTAATTTATATTCAAACTTTTTTTCCTCTCTCTCTCTCTCTCTCTCAACATATTGAATACACATTCATATTGTGTATTCAAAAGCAAACTCATGACTGAAACAAAAATTAATTATTATATTATATAACATTTTATGTAACGCTTGTACAGTATATATACATCAGTACAATATTAAAGAGCTATAAATAAAGTGTAGCCAAACTCATCACCACTTTTTTCAATGTAGACTTTGAGACCTTTGGGTTAACTTTTCATCACAAAAAATAAAAATAATAAAAACATCACAAAATAGTTTTTTTTTTAAAGTAATCAATCGATAAACATTTTGTCGATACGCAACTCAATACGAAAA